GAAGCTCTCTCCATATCCCCAATCTAAATTGACACCTTTTAAAGTCACTGCACTCTCTTATTTTTCCTTTAGAGAACGATCACTATTTGTAATTGATTATTTTTTTATCTTCCCCACAGGACTATAAGTTCTTGCGGTCTGAGAAGAATCATAAAGACACACCATCTGACTTCCGTGCCTTCTTCCGCCTCCCATGTTCTCAGTGGTGCTCTGGAGAACACCAAGCAATTGCCTGCTTGTAGCCACAGACAAGGTGTCCACAGAGCTCTACATACCCTCGAATGGTTGGTCAAATGCCTCAGTGGCCCTCGTCTCCATCACCTCCAACTCTGCTTGACCCAACAACACTTAAGGGGCAGTTGCTATATCTGGCCACTGTCTCTCTATGTAGAACTTAAGCCCTCTAGAGTTCATTGAAATTATCATGGTTTTACAAACTACTCCAGCTCTGTATAGGTAAACCTGATAGATGAATGAATGATTCTGTTTTTTATAAGGCATATACTTTCTTTTAAAAAGGGCCAAAGAAAACTATAGTGGATGGTTCATGCTTTCCTCTCTACTTACATGTAAGCCTAAAACATATAGCCAAACAAACTGTACCTAATGGCCAACCTTAGGTGACCTAAAGAAAAGTACAATGGGAGAAAGAGACAGTACCAAGAAGGCACAAAACTCAATTAAAACCTAAGGGATTTAAAGAAAAGTAGAAAAAGCACAAAGGGGCATTATTCAAAAGGCACAGAATAATTTGGGGTGAACTGCTTAGATGGCCCCAACATTTAAAGCAATGGGCATTGATGCTCAAAGTTAACTTCAGTCTTGGAATAACACCAAATTTCTTTAGGTCCTTCCCAAATAGGTCAAACTTTAGCTAAAAGCAAAACAAGACAGGAGCCAAAAGCATAATTATTATTTCTCCTCCTTGACCCCAATCACCAAAAAATGCAACCTGCTCTCTGAGGACACAAGCCTGCGGACCAGAATCAGGAAATGCAGATTCTCTTCATAGCCTGGCTCTCATTGATTCATCTCCAAACTTAACCTCAGCTGTAAAATAAGGGCACCAATTCTAGTGTTCTACAGTTTTATATTATGCTGTTATATAGGAACTAGAGGCCTGGTGCACAGATTCGTGCACCGGTGGGGTCCCTTGGCTTGGCCTGTGCCCTCTCGCAATTGGGATCCCTCGGGGGATGTTGGACTGCCAATTTCGGCCCAATCCCTGCAGGCCAGGCAGAGGGACCCCACCAGTTCACGAATCTGTGCACCGGGTCTCTAGTATGCATATAAGATCTTTGGTTAATCTCTTCCCACTCTCCCTCCTTCCCTCTGAGATTCATCAGTCTGTTCCATGTTTCCATGCCTGGGCATTGAGCATCTGCCCCCTGGGTGGTCAGTGCGCATCATAGCTACTGGTTGAATGGTCAAAGGGTCAAACGGTCACTTAGGCTTTTATATATATAGATGGTACAAAAAACCATGGAGTTTATAGAGCTGATAAACTCTCCACTGCTCAGACCAATCCAATGTTCTCTCCAATTTTCAGTAACAAATCTAAGGAGGATATTGTAAAAAATACACACACACACACACACACACACACACACACACTCACACACGCACACGTGTATATATATTGGCAGACAAGAAGAATGGTTATCCAGAAACCATTAAATGTAAGGTATTACTAAGGGAAGTGAAAACATTTAACTTAGAAAAGAGAAGACTGATAGTCCTTTAAGTAACATGAAATAGATGTCACAATGATGACTTATTCTGTTTTATTTTATAGGACACAATTGACTAATGGATAAAGACTGCAGGGAAGCATTTGACTCAACAGAAAACAAAATTTAATAATTAGTTAGGTCTGCAAGTATATAGACTTCCTCTGACATAACCTGCCTCCTTTGTAACTGGATGCCTCAGAAGCTAATTGGGTAATTCTCTGGGCTATTTTAGAGTAGGAAGTCGAGAGATTTTATGCAAAGGGATGTGAGGGTCACATACAGTCTCCGTTACATATTCTTCCTTGTGTGTGCATTTTTATAGCCATTAAAAATATAAGAACTATCCTTAGCCTGGGGGCCATTGCAAAAACAGGTGGTTTGCTGATCCCTGTTCTGGAGGAGTGCTGTCCAATAGAAGTGTTACTCACATACATTTTTCAGTTACTCAACTGTAACTGAAAATTTTCTAATATTTATATTTAAAAAGGTAAAAAGAAACAGGTAAGGTTAATTTTAATATATTTTATTTAATCCAATATATCCAAAAATTATCATTTTAGCATGTGAACAAAATTAGTGAACCTTTTAACATTTTTTAAAACTAAGTCTTTGAAATCAGTGTATTTCACATTTATAGCATATCTCAATTTAAATTAGTCACATTTCACCTGGCCAGGGTTGCTCAGTGGTTGAGCGTAAACCCACGAACCAAGAGGTCACCAGTTCAATTCCCAGTCAGGGCACATGCCCAGGCTGTGGGCTCGATCTCCAGTAGGATCTCATCATTGATGTTTCTATTTCTATATCCCTCTCCCTTTCCCTCTCTCTAAAATCAAGAAAAATCAATCAATCAATAAATTAGTCACATTTCAAGTACTCATTAGCATGGAGAAATAGCAGAGGTGACCTTCTAATGATTCATATCAATGAGGAAAAATGGAACAGTCAACAAGTAATTGTTGGAACAAGTGGCATGATAATTGGAAAAATAAATCTGGATCCTTTCTTCTGCCTTACTCCATTATAACTTCCAGATAGAAATCAGATGGCAATGTAAAAAGGTAAAATAAATTCAAATGCCCCAAAAAGAAAAAATGCCAAAAAATATGTTATTTTAATCATTGGATTGGCAAAGATTGAAAAGGCCATATCCCCAGACCCTCATTAAACCTGAGTTTTGGAATATAAATGTGCACAACCTTTCTTAAGGGCAGCTTGGCAATATGTATAAACATATGCCTCACTTCTGAAAGTTCACCCTAAGAGGTAATATTTATATGAAAAGGACAAAAAGATGAAGGCATAAGGATATTCACTGAAGCATCATCCATAAGTGAAAACAACTGGAAGTAACTTAAATGTCCATCATCAGTAGGACTAATTAAGTAAAATAAGGTCATTAACAATAATGTAGGTTTCTTATAGAAAGGTGCTGACATTGCTTGGGGCGGGGGAGAATGTACGTTATTAAACAGCATGCATAATGTGATCCTGTTTATGTAAAATTTTAAATTTCATGTAAATGTATATATTCACAGAGATATCAGAAGGATATTTAATAAAATGTATACAGTGATTATTTCTGATAGAGGTAGATATGGGATAATTTTCTTTGGATATGATCATACGTATTTATCTTCATTTTTATAATGATCATCTGACACCTTTTATCCCAGAATTATTTTTATAACCTCAGCATGATTTTTTTTCAACTGGCACCCTTAGACGTATCTTTTATACTTGTCATTTTACACAGTATGTTACAATAACCACAATATGAATACATTCTTTCACTGAAATAACACTGTCATGATTCACATAGGCAACTAGTACTCTGAGAAATATCTTTTTATACATGGGACTTAAAAGAGTATATTATATATGGTACAGTGTAGTAAACTTATTCATTCACTGAAATAACACTATTCTGATTCAATGAATTATTAGCACACTTTTTTTTTTACACTAAAATAAATTTATTTCAGAGACAACTTTTCCAGAACCTTTCTTCTCCGATTGAGGCCTGCTGTCAAAGTGTGGGTAAGCTGTCCAGGGTTCCCCTGGGGCCAACACACAGCTCACTGCTGGGTCAGGAGCTGGTGTTGCCTTGACTGTGTTTTTTTGTTTGTTTGTTTTTTAATGAATTTACTGGGGTGATATTGGTTAATAAAATTATATAGATTTCAGGTGGGCACTTTTAAAAATATGTCTTAAAGGCGTGTGTTTAGACAGTGTCATACATGCACCACATGAACACATTCCTTTGCTGAAATAATCAGCATGATGATTTTTATCTTTTCTGATTAATATAAAACTTAAATTTTTTACTTTAAAAATTCTCCTAACATACAGACATATGTTAAAAGCAAACTAACAGCCCTCTTTAGTGAATAACGCTTTCATAGGCTATAAAGAGAGTGGGGAGAAATACAGGCGACAAAGAAACCAAACATGAAAGGAAGCCACTTGCCTTTCCTCGGTTAAGCTATCTTTGATTCCTGGGAAAGGCACAAGGAGGACAAGTATTTTGACTCCATCTTCTAGTGGTGGGTAATGTTTTACACAACAACTCATACCAAAAAACAATTCCTTAGAGATGAAAGGCAGCCTTAAAACATATCTACAGAACATAACATGAGAAGAACACTTCTCTTTAACCCAAACACTCTTCTGTATACATCTAGATGCGTACCCAGAGTTAATATCACCAGAAAAGAGCCCTAGATCCTACAAAAATGGCAAACTATGAACAAACTAATATATTTTCATGGCCTTGTAAATAATAAAAGAAAAGCCTACTGAAAATGAGAGAAGCAAAGTTATGTGAAGAGTCCTTTGCTAGCTTGCTCTCCACCCATCAACAGATTAAGTTGCTTAAGAGACAGACACGAATAAAGGTAATTTCATATAATGTCATTCTTTAGTCACTATATTTTCCAACTTTGGGCTTTATAAGATCTATAAAACCACAGGGCTATGGGATACAAATAAAATTTGACTTTAAGTAATCTTTTCCTTTCCCATCACTGCCATTTCTCAAAACCCTAGATCCTTTTTCTCAAACAGTTAGCACGAGGTTCATTCACAACAGACTCACAAGGCCTCACTGTCAATAGAATAGATGCCCCGAAACAATCAGTGTGCTCCTGGGAACAGTCTTCAAGTGAAAAACAGTGAGACACCAGCAGATGACCAATGTTAAATGTTTTCTCAATTGTGGGGGGAAATGTCAACAGCTCTTTCAAGAGTTAAAAGGCTGCTTTTTACTGAACTATCGAGCTAGCTCTCCAACAGGCAGGCAGCGGAGACACTTTAGGTGCCGGCAGAGGAGACCTTTCAAGGGCATTACCTTTCGGAGGAAAGTACGACTTGCTTTCAGCTTTGTGAGGCCAGTCCACCACGAGAGGTCCGAACCTGCGGAAGCTGGCAGTGATCTCATCTGCAAAACAGAGGAGGAATCTTAGCAAAAGAGAAACGAACACTGCAAACCGAATAGCATAAAACATGCCTTTTCATATAAGAAATGCTTGGAGAGCAGTTTTGTAAAGCATTTGTACAGAAGGCAAACCTACGAAGCAAAATACCGATCATTCAGGGGGATACTTTTGGTCATTCACTCTCACCCACGCAGAATGTGATTCTAACTATAATTCATTTCCCTTCACTGCCAATTCACTGATATAAAGATTTGGGAGGGAAAAAATCTGACGTTAGCTAAGGTGACCTCCCTGTCAAATAAAATGGAGATTCTAAAAATAGGAATGTTTTCTGCTTTTAGAAAAAAGGCACTGCCAGAGAAAGATAAATATCACATGATCTCACTCATTTGTGGGAATATAATGAACAACATAAACTGATGAACGAAAACAGATCCAGAGACAGAGAAACATCAATCAGACCAGCAAACCTCAGAGGGAAGGTAGGGGAGGGTGGGGGTAAGAGGGAGAGATCAACCAAAGGACTTGTATGCATGCATATAAGCCTAACCAATGGACACAGACACCAGGGGGGTGAGAGCATGAGTTGGGGGGATGGTGGTGGGGGGCAAAGGGGGGATAAGGACACATATGTAATACCTTAACCAATAAAGAAAAAAAAGAAAAAAGGCAAAAGTACACAGGATATTTAAAATATTTTTACTTGTGTAAAATAATCTCTCAGATTATTAACCCTGGATTATTATTAATCTAAAGAGTATTAATCTGTACAATTATTTTACAAAGAGTTAATTCTTTTGGTGAGGAGTAGGGGAAATAAGTAGATAATTCTATTTTGGTGTGTTAAGAAAACTTAAAAGCCAAGGTTTCTTTCATACACACCTACTACACATCCTATAAAGAAAATGTTTCAAAAGTTAGAGTTCAATAACTTTATCTTTTCCTTCTGACTTTTTAAAAAAAATATATTTTATTTATTTTTTACAGAGAGGAAGGGAGAGGGATAGAGAGTTAGAAACATCGATGAGAGAGAAACATCGATCAGCTGCCTCCTGCACACTCCCTACTGGGGATGTGCCCGCAACCAAGGTACATGCCCTTGACTGGAATTGCCTGGGACCCTTGAGTCCGAAGGCTGACGCTCTATCCACTGAGCCAAACCGGTTAGAGCTCCTTCTGACTGTTGACTCAAAGCAGGAGATTATAACTTAGCTCCTATCCAGATTTAAGTTGCCACTCCCTTAGTCATGATCAAAACTTTGTCTTAAAGAAAAATCCATTTGATAAATGAAATTAACATTAGTACAAGAATAGTTCGGAGGAAAATGAGTCTCCGTGTGTACAACTTTAAAGCAGCAAGTCTAAAGTAAAACTATTTTTAGAGACTGTTCTTCTCTCAACACACACACAAAAAGTATGATAAATCAGAGAAATGTCAGAGCTAGAATAATGCTGGCAAAACAGTTTTTGTAAACATTTTATAGCAGGTCCAAGGCCTAGAACTAGAGTTGTTGTTTTTTCCCCTTAACTGTTATAATTTTGTTTCATTTATCCATTTAACAAATATTTATTGACAACCTACTGTGTGCTAACTGGCTTTAGGCATAAGAGAAAAACTTACTTTTGGATTGGTAGGATCTCAAAAATATCATTAAGAAAATTTCTCATTAGTCTTCATTCTTACAGATAAGAGGGAGGCTCTTACTAATAGGCCATCTATATTAAAATATGAGATGGTGTGATGTAATGGACATAAGCAAAAGCTGTGATGTCGAGTTCCAACTGCACCACAGCTATATGACCCCGGACAAATTGTTTCTCTCTGATCCGCAGCTTCCTCACCTATAAAATGGAGTCGGTAGGCTATGCCTTATGGGATGGCTATGGGGATTAAATGAGATACTGCAATGTGAAGCACCTCGCACAATTATGAGCTCATAGTAGGAGTTTCAGAAAAGTTAGCTCTGATATAGTAACTAGGAAATGGGACGCTGTTGGGAGACTGCTACGTATAAAATGCATATAAACAGTAGACCTGAAGTACATCATCTATTGCCGCTCCATCCATTGAATATTCTCACCCCCTGCTCACTAAGATATGAACGTCCTTAAACTTCCCTGGAGAGGACATTTCCCTGCTTTGTGAAATCGGATCACACAAAGAACCAACCTGGCCTTTATAAAGTCATCAATGAACGCACAGTACCTTCGTCGATGTCAGGAGGAAGGCCTCCAACAAACACCTTTCTAGAGTAGCGCTCTACTCGCTCCCCATTTTGACAGCGAGTGGGGGAACTTAAGCCAGAGGACAAGGACTGATCGCCGTGACTGTCATCCAGGAAGGCATCTTCAAAGGGGAAGAGAGAAGACCGACCTGAAACAAATGTGGGAGTTTGCACAGTTAAAATTCTTTTCCTGGACAACAAACGTTTTATTAGGAGCCAAAATGCAGAGTAAAGCATATAAAGAGATAACTCCTGAGCTGTGACTTTTTCAGTAGAACGAGCGACGGCAGATTACCAGGTCTAGACAAATTTGTACCATCATTTTTGTGTAAAGGTATGTAACCCACAGACACGACTAGACTGATACTAAGGCAGAAGCATTAAATACTGCAGCTGTTTTTGCTGCTAAAAATTCACCACATTTTACTCACAGAATCCCTATCACTGCTGCTAAGAGTATTCAGCAAGTTATGTATCCTTTCCCTAAGCATTTCTTAAAATAAATGAAAAAGTAATCTTTATTCACAGATCTTTATTTGCTCTTTATGGTGAGCTCAAAGGTTCAGTTCTAAAGATGGACACTTGATGGCTGAGGGAATATTAAACTGATGACAGAGGCTGATAACTTCTTTGAGAGCTGGACTAAACATGATTAAGTTTTTTCTGCCATTTCAAGCTACTCCAATTTGAAAATAAACATCTGCAATAATAAAAGGTGGGACAGGTAAACGAAAACATGTAAGTTAAGATGTGGGAGGACAGATGTAGATGTGGTTATGACATTTTTTTAAAAATATATTTTATTGATTTTTTACAGAGAGGAAGGGAGAGGGATAGAGAGTTAGAAACATCGATGAAAGAGAAACATCGATCAGCTGCCTCCTGCACGCCCCCCACTGGGGATGTGCCTGCAACCAAGGTACATGCCCTTGACTGGAATCGAACCTGGGACCCTTCAGTCTGCAGGCCGATGCTCTATCCACTGAGCCAAACCGGTCAGGGCAATGGTTATGACATTTTTAACCCTCCTAACGTAGGCCATATTTGATATCACGCAAAAATTTTTTCTCATTGTTAACTCTACAGCCAAATAAAGTATACAGAGTAAAGGTACCTATCCACGCCACATGATATAAGAAAGATACCAGCAGTTAGAGTCTGTTAATAAATGTAACACAGTAATGCCATCTGGCAACAAAATAAAATCTAAGTTTAAAAACAAATACATTTCCTGTTTGAGTCAGTGAGTTCCTGGTAAAACTTTCCACTAGGTTCCCCTCTAAAAACAAACTGTCTTGAGCACTCTTTAAAAGAAAAATTTCCCTCTAAAATAAATTCATACAACTCTTAAGAAAAAAAAAAAGTCTTCCCCATTTAGTCTATCCTGTCTTTAGCCTGTCTTTATTTCCCTGAAACCTAGGTTCTGCGTCACTACAGTCAACTCTCTGAAACAGAATATAAATAGCCTTAGAAAAGTACTGAACATTTATTTCTTTTACAAAAAAAAATAGTTACTAATATAACTCTGTTTATTTTATGAACCCAGGTGGTATAAGAAAGGCACTATTTTGATGTTGGGAGTTAATAAATAAAAGGACCAAAGAAATTTTTGTTCAGCTCTTCCCAGCTTAGCTACAAAGAAACAGAACAAAATTGGTCACCTCATGTCACCTAGCTTTTCCAGCCTGACAGGAACAAACAATAGACAGTAAATTCTCATCCTTGTTATTTGTTTTGATTACTGGAGGGAAAAATAGATCTGCAGCAACTATAGGCAAAATGAGTTTCCCAAAGACACGAAGAGCTGTTCTCCCTCGGCCGTCAGCTTTGCTTTTCACGTAACCCACACTCAGTGAATTATGCGCCTACTCTGTGATAGGAACACGCCCAATCACATTTCCCACAGATTGTTCCTATCCCCATCTCTGACCCTCAACACGAGTAACATGAGATGCTCAGAAAACAAAAGCTTGTGTGGGAGGAGGGAAGGGAGAACTAAATTATATTGGAAAACACTGGCCAGCTTATGCCTTTCCCATAGATTTACAATCCACATTGGAATACAAAAGGCTGCGGAAAGTTCCACGGTAAAACAGATTATTCCAGTATTACCTGGATTTAAAATAAAGGAATCTTGCCCAGCTGGTGTGGCTCAGCGGTTGAGCATCGACCTATGAACCAGGAGGTCACAGTTCAATTCTTGGTCAGGGCACATGCCTGGTTTGCAGGCTCGATCCCCAGTGTGAGGTGTGCAGGGGGCAGCCGATCAATGAGTCTCTCTCATCATTGATGTTTCTCTCTCTCTTTCTCCCTTCCTCTCTAAATCAATAAAAATATGTATTTTTTAAAAAGATAAAGAAATCGCCCTAGCTGGTTTGGCTCAGTGGATAGAGCGTCAGCCTGCGGACTGAAGGGTCCCAGGTTCGATTCTGGTCAAGGGCACATGCCTAGGTTGTGGGCTTGATCCCCAGTGGAGGACATGCAGGAAGCAGCCAACCAATGATTCTCTCTCATCATTGATGTTTCTATCTCTCTTTCCTTTTCCCTTCCTCTCTGAAATCAGTAAAGATATATTTTTTTAAAAAAAGATAAAGAAATCTTTAACATACATAACTCTGTGAAAAAATATTTATCCACATCCATGAACACCAAATAAATAAGGTTATTATTTGGAAGTCCCTGACAAAGAAATCAAGTCTGGTCAGAGAGATAGGCAAGTGCACAATTATAAAACAGAGGAATACGTACTAAGGGAAGACGTTTTACTAAATGACACAAAAGCACAATTTACTGCCCGATGGGAGATGGGGGAAAAAGGACCTTCAGAGTGATTTCACAGGAGGGCAGATTTGAGCAGAATCTTGTGGGAGTGCCTAAGGTAAAGAACAAGAATCCACAGAGAAAGAACTTTTAACGCAGTTTGGATCTTTCCTCCAAACCTGCTCCTCTCAATAAACATGACTATCATCCATATCCAATTCAATCCACAAAATCCAGGCGTCATCCCTGACATCTCTGTTTCTTTCACACTCCAGTTCTAATCCATCTCTCCATACGTCCTGCCAACTCAAGCTATAAAATTCTTCAATCCAGTCAATTCCATGTTCGATCCTAACAGCTGAGTTCAGATCACCATCATCTCTCCCCTGAACTAACATTCTAATGAATCTACACCAAGCATGTCAAACTCGTGGCCCACAAGGAATATTTTTGCAGTCCAGCCAATAGAACCGTATGTAAGAAACATTTCAATAAAAATTTCGTAACTTAATTTTTACAATACCCTGTTACACATAATTATTGATGAACTACAACATTCGCTAATGACTAATTACTGTAATCATGTTGCATTCATTTCCCTTACTCGCCTTACACACAGGCGTACCATTTCTCTCCACTAATACTAGCAGCGAATATTTTAGCAGCCGGCTGCCACGTCATCAGTCTTGTACTGACTTGTTTGGTGTGCGCAACAGGAAATATTTCAGCTTTCGGAGAACAAGAAAAATATTTGCGTTACACTTATTTATTTGTGCAGTTATTCAGTATCTGGTAAGTGTTCAAGAAAAAATATTAATTTTATTAAAATGTTCTATTATTTTATGTTAACGATTATTCATTTATTTCAGCCCTTTGTATTCAGCATGTCTCTATCGAAGTAAACATACGTTTCTATAAAAATTGAAGCTTTTTTTGCGGTCCACATAAATCTAGACCTTGTTTATTTGGCCCGTGTTAGCCTTTGAGTTTGACATGCTTGCTCTACACACTAGCTTGCTTAGTCTACTGATTTCTATCTTGAACCCTTAGAGTGCTTTCTCCACAAACAGTCAAAGTCACTATTTTCAAAAATTAACCTGAACATGTAACCTCACTCTTCACCCCTACCTGTAAAACGCCTCAATAACATCCCATTGCTTTCTGGATAAAGTGCAGACACATTTCTGTAACCGTAAGGCCTCTGCCTGCCTCTCCTAATCATAGTTGCTGCCTCTCCCTCTGGTTCACTAACCTCCAATCTCGCACACACCCTTTGAATTTCTTGATTATTCCTCCTTGCCTCAGGCTCTAAGGACAAGGTGTTCCCGTAACCAACAAACACCCTCCCCCAGCTCCCTAATTTTCTAGTTAATGCCTACAATTCTTCAGGTCTCAGCTGAAAAGTCATTTTCTCAGGTGGAACGACCCTGACCTTCTAGATTCATTTAAGGTCCCCTTTTCTACCCACTCAGAGCACTTTTGTAAGGGTTTTTATTTGGTATCTCATTTCCCAAAACCCCATTCAATTGTAAGCTCTATTAGGAAAGGGACCCATTTAACCTTGTTCATCACTGTATCTTCATGTTCTAATAAGAGCACGTAAAAGGCACTCAATGACTGGTAAAAGTGAGGCAGTATCCAGGAAAGGAAACAGCATGTGCAAAGGCATGGGATGCAAGTAAAGGCTGGAACACAACACAGGCTGTGACGATGGCAAGAGATGGAACCATGCCCCAGAAAATCGAGACCTTTTCTATTGCTTCTATTCATTCAAACATTATATTCTATGTTACAAAAGAAAATTTCCCCCATTTTCCAAATTTAATATTTCTTTCTCATACTAGTTTTTTTTCTTTTTTAAACTACACTCACTCCCTGAAAAGTCTGATACACCCTTCTAATCCATCTCCCATCCTGTCACAATGAATCCTCTAAGATGCTTGTGACCATGGTATTTCCTCTACCCCCAGATCCTACAATAGCTACCGTCAGCTCCACCAGCAATTTACACCCAGGGAGAAGGGGGGTGGGGTGAGAGTCTGAAGAAATCTGTGACTGTCCAGTGAGAGAATGAGGAAGTCTTAAACCAGAGCAGTGAAGAAGGAGAAGTGGGTGTTCAAGACATTCTAGAACAAGGAGAACTTGCTTTTGCATGGCCAACATAACCACAGTTTCCCCAGAGTATTTTGACAAAGAAAATAAAAGCAAGAGTTAATTGTGAAAATCTGGACTGTTTTAAAAATTGGTTATGGATACTTAAACTTTCTAAGGTTTTAAAACCAAATCTCTGTTTTAGTTAGTACTTAGAGTACCATAGACTTTAGTAATAAAGTGGCCCTTCGAAATGAAACTACTAAGAATTCACACATACATGATGTTTCCCTAACTG